CTCGGGGCATCTAGATACATGACGCATTTTCACCCGCTGCTGGCTGTGTGTTTTCTGATGAGCACTCAGGAAAAGAAAGTCCCCGAGGGAGGTGGTCACGAGAAAGAGAAACAAGGCTGAGAATGCACGGCCAGTATCACTTCTGTATTCTTCCCTCATAGTGAAGGGGAAAAAACTTGAAGCTGAACTAAAAGGTCACATCACTTCAAGCTGGAAAGAAGTCTAGTTTCTAGAAACATCTCCAAAAATGGGAAGCTGGGTTTCTAGTGTAGTTTCCACCGGGTGCGGGTGAGGAAGGGGCTGCAGGCAGGGAGGGGGCACGGCAGGAAGTGGGGCGCCCTGCTTGGCCGGGAGGACCGGGGCCGCGGGGCTGTGCCGTTGGCTGGCTGTGCAGACAGCATGCCTTTCAGGCGTACTTCCGGTGCAGAAACACCGCTTGGTGCCTCGCTGGCTGGACGCTGGCCTGCCCGCTGTCCTGGGCTGACCTTGGGGAGCGCTGCACTTTCCCTCGCTGACCTGGGGCATGTCTGTCCTTGTGAACATTCCCTCTGAGATCTGAGGTTTCGATTCCACAAAAATAAATACAGCAGTGGCCCACCCTCTCCTCAGTGGATCCAAATGGAGCAGGCTGGTTTCTGGGGGCATTTCCAGGGTTTCCAGGGCAGAAACCGTGGCCCTGCCAGCCTCCAGGATGCAGATGGTGGGAGCTGAGTGGATGGCCCCCAAGGCAGCCCTGCATGCAGCTGGTCCAGCTCCCTGGGGAGCCCCAAAGTCGGGGAAGCTTGGGCACCTCTCTGAACTTGGGGGAGGTCCATAACACGTCAGAGTAAGAAAGCAACAAGGACACCCTGGCATGAAGGGTCTGCCTCCAAAGAAGGGGGTTCCCAGGAGCCCCAAACAAGAAACTCCTTGCCTGCAAGACCCAGGATGCAAGGACCCCCCAGGGCTGAGTGGAAGTGGGACCACCAGGCCTCCCCTGCAGATCTCAGACCCCAAGGGGTAGGAACTTGCTAGAATGGGCTTCTCCCCTGGGCACTGTGGGCATTTGGTGCTGGGTCATTCTTTGGGGTGGGGCATCCCAGGTGATGTGGGGGTTGGCGGCCTTCCTGGCCCCACCCCCTCGATGCCAGGAGCACCCCAGTCGTGACGACCACAGACGACCCCAGACACCACCCGTGTCCCCTGGGGGAGAGCCCTGGCCTGGAACTCACAACACCTGAGCAAGCAACTGTCCTTTGTCTCAATCTGAGGAGCATACATTGCATCTCCTGGAAGATCGACTGGGGGCTCCTGTTCCCCAGCTTCGTGGCCCCGGGCGGGTCAGAGCCCCACGCCGTGACTGCCCCCAGGGAGGCCCAGGCTGCAGCCACGCTGGGCGAGGGACGAACGAGCGAAAATGAGACATGGTTTTGCAGGGAAGTCCAGCTAAGGCTCACGTGCACAATAAACAATCCATGTCCCCCTTGAGAAAGGCCCCCGATAGGAAAAACATCCTTAAGAACCAGAGGGACAGGAGTGAGCCGGGACTGAGCTGAACACAGCACCTGCTCTTTGGGGTTCCAGGCCTTCCAAAGCCGTATTCTGTGCTTGCGAGCCTGCGGGTGGGGTTCACCCCTTAAGGAACGTCCCCAGTTGGCAGAAACTCAGGGGGCTGCCACCAGGGGTGGCCTATCGTGTCCTGGGGGAGTCGAGATGAGTCTCATCATTGGCACACACGGCGTCACAGAATCAGGGAACATGAGCTGGGTTAGAAACAAAACATGAGGGGCGCCCCGGAGGCTCAGTGGTGAAGCGTCTGCCTTGGGCTCAGGTCGTGACCCAGGGTCCTGGGATCGAGCCCCGAGTCAGCTCCTGGCTCCCTCTCCCTCTGCTGCTCCCCCACCTGTGTGTGTACACTCTCTTTCTCTCTCTCTCTCTCTCTCATTAATAAATCAAATCTTTTTAAAAAAAACCCAAACACGAGACAAGCTTTGTACACGGAGCAGGGTCCGGCTCCACCCACCATGCTGCGACTGCAGGGGCAGGGTCTGCGCCCAGAGCCAGACGGGCGGCGGGGACGGCCGCTCCCGCTCCAGCCGCGACGCAGAGCCCCTGGCGGTGAAGAGCCCTGCACGGCGTGGCTACTGTGCCCGCTCTTATTGCCTGCAATGACGTGGCCCCTGTGCCAGCCCTCTGTGTCCGCGTGCAGGTGAAGGAAGAGTGGACTGTCCCCTCCAGGGAGGGAAAGCCGGCAGCGGCGGGCTCGAGAGCGAGGGCGGCCGACCGTAGCCCACCCACCACAGCCACTGTGTTCTGCCTTATCTCAACGTTCACCTTTTAAAGGCCTTAATTAGAGAGAGGAGCGCTCTCCCAGCAGCTGGGGGGCCGGCGGGTCGGGTCGCTCAGTCCCGGCTGCTCTCGGGCTGTGGGATCTGGGCCAACCGAATGCGAATGGATTTCCTGGCTCCTCACCTGTAGGACAAGGTGAGCAGGGGCAAGAGCTCCCGGATCCGTTATTCCAGTGATGTGTAAACGTTTGGCCCCAGGACCCGTTTCTACCCTTAAAAACGACCCAGGCTACGTGTGTGATCGGAGCATGCCAGCCACAGACACACGTGCGCGGGCGCCTGGCCCGTCTGCCCCCCGGGCTCAGCCGCCAGCTCCCTGGGGCGGGGACCGGGGGCCTCCTCCTCGCCGCGTCCCCAGGGCTGCGCAGCAGAGACAGCTGCAGCCGGGCGGCCGACGGCACCAACCCGGGCCGAGATTCTGTCCAGGAAGAGAACGGGCGCCGGGAGCCCCCATGGCCCTCGCGCTCCCTCCAGGAGCTGCGGGAAGCATTTTGGAGACCTGCCCGCGAAGGAAGCCTGCTGGGCCCCGAGACGCGACCCGCGGCACGCTTCTGACCGGGGCTTAAACGCCCCACGCCCTGGCTTCGCTCCACCTGCGCCCTACACTCCCGTGTGCAGGGGAGAAGCGCCAGCAGAAAAGAACAATCCGCAAGGGCTCAGGCTCCGCCGGCCGCCAGCGCCGCAGAGTGAGTGAGCGGGCGGCGCGGGGACACCCGGGCCGGCCGGGAGCGGCTGAGCAGGATCCACCACGCAATCGTGACAGCATGTGCTCCCTCCGATGGTATCCGGGAACCTAAATTAATCCCAGACACCGGGCTGGAGGCAGAAGCAGCAGCTGATCTCGTCCGGGCAGCAGGCCACCCGTGTCCTCCTCTTTCCTCGATCAGAACTGCCTTTCAGAGCAGCCTGATGTAGGACAACTGGGAGGGGTCAAGGGCAAGAGAAGCCAGGGCTATGAGGGCGGGCACGCAGGGGGCAACCGAATCAAGGCTGGAACCCAGGCCCCGGGCTCTGGGGCGGGCGCTGGGCACAGCAGAGCCGAGAGGTCGGGGGCCCAGGGCGTCTGCAGGGGTGAAGGCGCAGGGCCTGGGGGAGCGCACGCTCTGGGAGGGTCAGTGCACTGCCCGCCTTCCTCGCTTCCGAAGGGGGAGGCGCCGGGCACCAAGGGGCAGAGCTGAGGTTCGAAGGCACTCCTGTGTTCTTCCCACTCCGCGGGGCTGCAGGGGGATGGTGGCGGCTCTCTGGGCGGGACGCTCCCGGGCTCGGAAACACAAGCTCAGGGCCGTGTTTCTGGAGCCCAGAGCGGAGACAGAACAAAGCCGGGCAGGGTTCAGGCTTGCGGGCGATGGCGGAATCCGGAGCCCAGCTATCTGGGGAACGTGAGCGGGCGACGCGTTCGGGAGCAGCCCCAGGGTTTGGGAGGAGGATGTAAGTTTGCTCGTCTTCACTGTGCACAGAGCTTTTAGTTTTTCGCAGGGCGCCGGGCTGGGAGGGAATTCAGTTTGTCTCGCCTGATCCATTTCACACGTGCAGGAACTGAACACGACAGTCAGGGGCCCCTCTGTTTGGAGCAGGCTGCACGTTTTCGGCCCCGTGCCTCCGAGCCATGGCGCAGACACCTTCCCCCACCCATCGCACCCGAGGGGTACCGCACATTCGGGGACGAGGCGTGGCCTGTCAGGATGCTTTTCCCGTAGAGACACAGGACAGCGGGGGGAGAGCACCATCCGCGGCGGGTCCCTGCCCCCCAGAAACAGCAGGCCAGAGGGTCCAGGGGAGCCGCTGAATTCTGCGGGTGAATGAGGTACAGCCACGGAAATGCACACCCTTTGTGCAGCCCGGACTCGTTCCTGCAGCTACTATAACAAACGCCACTGATCTGGTGGCTTAAACAGCAGACCTTTATTTCTGCTGAAGGCCAGGGTCCAACCAGTGTCACGGGGCTGAGGTCAAGGTGAGGCGGGGCCGCGCTCCCTCCTTCCTGTGTCCTCCAGCTCCCGGGGGCCCAGGCGCCCCGTGGCTTGTGGCCACGTCCCCGGTCTCTGCCTGTGATCACATGACCTCCCCCGTGTGTCAAATCTCCTGCCTCCGTCTCATAAGGACACTCGATGATTGCGTTTAGGGCACATCGGGAAAATCCCTCCATCTCAAAATCCTTAGTTTAGTCACACCTGCAAAACCGTGGTCCTTTCAGGTGCCACGTTCCCAGGTTCCAGGGATTTAGGACCTGCTATCTCTGGGGGCCTTTCTTCCCCAAGCACAAAGTCTTTCCAGGGCCCACGTGCGTGCGCACAGGAAGAGGTCCCGTGCCCGGCGGCCGGGCGCACCTGTGTGGGGAGCTGGGCAGGCAGCTGAGGTTGTCCGGGGCAAGGAGGGGAAGGCCCCGCCGGCCGGTGCGAAAGCCCAGCACTCACAGCACCGTGACGGGGGCCGCCGCCCCACACTCTCAGTGTGCTGGGGGCCCGTGTGTCCTCGCGTCAAAAACAGTCAAACTGCAGCAGTATTTCTTAAAATGAAGTTGGGAAATAAAATCCGCCTGGAGTCAGGGCCCCGGGGAGCCCACTGGCAGCGCCCCCTTCCGGTCGCACCGAAATGGCAGTGCCGTGGACAGCTGCAGGGGAGCTGGCCTGGAGCTGTGAGTCACCGGCAAACGCACGCGACCGGCTTTCTGGGGAGCGGCCTGGGGACAGCACAACGCGGAGCCGCGGCCGACAGCAGCGCAACCGCTCCCTCCGGGCCGGCAGCCAGAGAGCAGCCAGAAGGCTGGCGGGGGTCCGCGACACTGCCTGGAGGGGGCTCACAGCTCGGATGGCATTTGAGAAAAAAGGTCAGGCAGAGCCTGCCGGCTGCCCCTCCATGACACACAGCAAACCGCACGGAGTCAGAACAATCTGCAGGTGGCGGGTAGGTGGGGCTGAGTAGGGGTGTGAGGAGGAGGAAAACCGAAACAAGAGAGTACTATGATTCAGCAGAGGCCCTGCCCACACACGATCTGCCCTGTGAGAAACAGAAACCCGGACGCCATGCAAGGCGAGGCTCGAGGGCTGGGATGGCGGACGGGGCGGGCAGGCTTTCTGCCCGCGTGCACGCACACGGGAGCGTGGGGATCCCCACGGAGGCCCGCGGCCGGGCCACACCGTGCCGGCCGAGCGCACAGCACGAGCTCTCGGTTTGTAATCCGCGGCAGGCAGCCGGCTCGGCTGTTCCCGGAGGCAGGCACACCCTGTGCTGTCTTGCACACGGTCCCAGAGTCCTGGGCCGGAGACCCTGGCAGAGCTCCCCTCACTTCCGTCCGCCGTCCCGGCCGGGGTGCTCTGGGCCTCCTCCAGCGTCTCCTTCTGCAGGGAGCCGCGAGGGAGAGCCCCACGCTCCCTCCTGGGGTGCGCGAAATGCAGCCCACGGTGGCCCTGGGCCGCCCCGGTCTGCGGTTTGCCACCCTCTTGGCCAGCACTAAGGCCGCCGTCAGATGCCTGCAGGCCTGTGAACACGGCGAAATCTGGGTGCCTGATCTTCCTTCTGCCTACTTAAACTTTTTTTTAATTTTAATTTTGTTTTAAGTAGGCTCCACACCCAGTGTGGAGCCCAACACCGGGCTCAAACTCACGACCCCGAGATCAAGAGCAGAGCTGAGATCAAGAGCCGAATGTTTAACAGGCTGAGTCACCCAAGAGCCCCTGCCTACTTTTTAAAAAAATTCAGATGAGAGTTGCATAAAATAAAACAAACCATTTTAAAGGGAACATCTCAGTGGCAATGAGCGCATTCACAGAGCTGAGCAATCACCACCTCTACCAATTCCAGAATATTCCATCACCCCAAAAGGAGCCCCTTTCCCACCCGCATCCCCCACCCCGGCCCCCCGAGCCCCCTTCCCGTCCGGGGATGAGCCTGTTCTGGACGTGTCACCTACGTGGATTCACACCCCGCGTAGCCTTCCGTGTCCGGGTCCCTCCCTGAGCGTCCCCGCCCCCATCAACGGTCACTCCCCACCTTCTCCCCAGCCCCCCGGCCCCCGAGCCCCCTTCCCGTCCGCAGATGAGCCTGTTCTGTGCGTGTCACCCACGTGACTCACACCCCGCGTGGCCTTCCGTGTCTGGTTCCCTCCCTGAGCGTCCCCGCCCCCATCAACGGTCACTCCCCACCTTCTCCCCAGCCCCCGCTCCCCCGAGCCCCCTTCCCGTCCGTGGATGAGCCTGTTCTGGACATGTCACCCACGTGGCCTCACACCCCGCGTGGCCTTCCGTGTCCGGGTCCCTCCCTGAGCGTCCCTGCCCCCATCAACGGTCACTCCCCACCTTCTCCCCAGCCCCCGCCCCCCCGAGCCCCCTTCCCATCCGCGGATGAGCCCGTTCTGGGCGTGTCACCCACGTGGCCTCACACCCCACGTGGCCTCCTGTGTCTGGTTCCCTCCCTGAGGGTCGTGGGCTCGGGGTCTGTCCCCGGGGCCGCCCGTGTGGGCGCCTGGCTCCTGCTCGCGGCTGAGGGACACATATGTCTGCACGTGGTGGCACCTTGATTGCTCCACCTCCTGGCTCCTGTGAATCGTGCTGCTGGGAACACTCGTGTGTGTGTCCTTCTTTGAGATTCTCTGCAGCTCTTCTGGGGACCTTCTAGGACTGGAGCTTTGGGGCCAGCGGGCTCCGTCTGCAGCTCTGCCATCCCTCCAGGGCCCAGAGCCGGCCTCGAGTCCTGCCCCGCGTGCCTGGCATTCCTGCAGTGCGACCACTCAGCGTGCAGGCACGCCTGCGTCTGATGGGCATCTGCACGCCCTCAGGTGACGGGCAGTGGGGATCCTGCAGGACGGCGATGAGACTCGGGTGCGAAGCCAGAGGGGCACCCGAGAGCCAGCCATTGAGGGAAGTTGTGTTTTAACGCTCTCTTGCAAAAAATCAAAATGAACGCAGAAAATCCATGATGAATGAAATGCTGACATTTAAAATCACGACAGGATTGGTAACCATGCGTGAGAACCGCGCTGGAGTCTGAGGCACGAGGAAAAGCCAGGGTGCCCGATCCTGTCCACACTTCATTCACATTTTGAAATTCGGTTCATTGTGCATTTTCTCATTGACTTAGAATTATTAATGGAAATAACAAATAGTGTTCTGTTAAAATGTTTACTTTCACATAAAATCAAACGTGAACAAATTGGAATGAGTAAGTTAACGTGAACACGAATTTTTTCTTTTGCATTAAACTGCTGTTTGATCCCTGAGGTTCTGGGTGCATTGTGCACCCAGGGTGAGTGCCCACTGGCCGCACCTGGCCCCAGCCCAGGACCAGGAAGGGGCCGGCACAACCCAGAAGGCCCTACAGGAAATGAGGTGTTGTCTTTTGGTCCCGAGGTAGAGGGGAATGTGGGGCTGCCGGCGCGTTATTCTTCTCAGCCCCCGTTTCCCTGTCGATGACACAGGGGTCCCGACAGAGCCTCTGCTGCTGGTGGGGCGGGTTTTCAATGAATGCCCATCTCTGTCTCAGCCTTAGGGCCCTTAGGACCAACTTCCCAAAGATGTGGGCTCAGCGCAGGCAGCCCCCCAACATGTGCACAGAGGCGCCGTGCTGGTGAGGGTTAGCGTCTCTCTGGACGCGTGGGAACAGTCCTGGTGTGTGTGGAGGGGAGGGGAGGAGGCCACTGGCCCGTCCACAACTCAGCAGGGCCCCCTCGGGGAGCTTTCGGCCACAGAGCCTCCAGTGAGGCCTCAAGGGAGCAGGCCAGCGCTTTTTTTCTCATAAAATGATTTGTTCTGCAGATGGCACCAGCAGGTACGTCCCTCAGCCCCGCCTGGCCCAGGACCGAGCCCAGTCAGCACAGCCAACCAGGTCTGCATCCGCTCCCGTACCCTGCCCTCTCCCCCTCCTCGGCCCGGGTGGGCTTCCAACCCCCGGACGGCAAGTGGGAGGTGCCCCTGGTGCTCCTTCCCAGCCCGGGGCCCCACAGGGGTGTTATGGGTTAAACTGTGTCCCCACCCCAAATTCACGTGTTGACATCCTAGCGCCCAGCAGGTGAGAACGGGAAATTATTTGGAAATGGGGCGGTCGCAAGGGTACTTAGTTAAGGTGAGTAGGGTGGGCCCTAAAGCGATGACAGGTGTCCTTACAAAAAGGCGACATGTGGACCCAGACAGGCAGGCAGAAACCCCATGAAGACGGGGCTGATGCTTCTACAGGCCAAGGCATGCCGAGATGACCGGTGACCTCCCCCCGTGAAGCTGGGGAGCCTGGGACAGGTTCTCCCTCAGCAGGAACCAGCCCTGCACCACCTTGATCTCAGACTTCTGGCTCCGGAGCAGGGACAGGGTACGTTTCCATTGTTTCCACATCAGCATTGGTATGGCCACCCCGGGAGACCGAGACATGGGGCTAATATACCTAGAAGGTCCAATGGGAGCCGGCGGTGCTCGGATCCCCACCCCAAACCCTCGGACACCCCCGTTTGGATCAAGAGGACGACACCTCAGGAAAAGCACCTGGCAAGGGGCTCAGCCTCAGGAGTGGCTCAGGTGGCCTAAGAAACGCGGCAAAGACCAGCCTTAAGTTTTGCAAGATGCTGACCCTTCTCAGGAGGGACCGAGGCGTGTCAGGGGCACGTTTCTCCAGGCCAGCTGGCTGTCCAGGGGGCCCAGGGTGTGCACACCTGTCTCCTGAGCGCTCAGAGACTCTCGTTCCCAAAAGACAACAGAGGGCAGACACTAAAAGCTGGAGCCAGGCGGGCGGCTGGCCTGACATCCCCGGCCCTGGTGGCACCTCATGCTGGTGTGAAAGCCACGCAGGGCGGGTTCCCTTTCCCCGCCGGCCCCCCCTGCTGCTGAGCCCCGGCCACCCCCGCCCAGACCCGGAGGAAGCCAGTGATCTGGCTCCTGGCGAGAGCCTCGACAATGCAGTGGGAGATGACGACTGGGAATCGGGATCACGCACGTCTCTGCACAGACTGACTCAAGGGGACAGGAATTCCGCCGGCGGGTGTCTAGACTGCGGTGTTTCTGGGATGCAGGAACCCGGAGCCAGAAGTGAGGCCCGTGGGGTGGGCTGTGCTGCCACCTGGTGGCCCCGGCTGCATGGGCCCTGCGGCGCGTCCAGTGCCTCGGGCGTGGGGGTCCAGGCCCTCGCGGGGTCCGGAGGGGCAGGCCGTGCAAAGCCTGCATTTACTTGCGGCAGGATGAGACCCCTGGGTCGGGGATTCCACTGACCCCAGGAGACTGCGCTCTGTGACCACTGGCCGGCCGCCTGAGGTCCCGGATGCTGCACATACTTCATGACACACTCAGTGCGGTGACTCACAGACGCTGGTTTACACGGTGTGACTCCTAGGGCTTGATTCTGTGTCTAGTGTGAGCAAGGACTTATTTTCCCAAAATAAGGAACGCAGGGTTTCCCCATCCTGGCCCTGCCGACATTGGGGTGGCTTACTCTCTTTGGGAGGCGTCCTGGGCACTGTGGGCAGCTGAGCACCCGTGGCCCACAGCCCCTGGATGCCAGGAGCACCCCAGTCGTGATGACCCCAGATGCCTCCACACGTGGCCCTGTGGCCCCTGGGCACAGTCATCCTGGGTCAGAATCTCGGCATAGGTGATTATTCTTTTTTTTATTGGAACCAATGATCCCTTCTTGGAAGCAGAAACTATCCAGGCAGCCCCTGTCCTCCCACCGGTGAGGAGCCCCCTGTCAGGGCTGGGGGTGTTGGGGGAGCACGGGAATGAGGGCTGGAGGAAAGCCCACCTGCTCCGCCTCGGGCAAGGCGCGGCCCGGGCAGAGGCCACTGTGCCTGGGACGGGCACTCAGGCACTTGCTGGGTCCATGGGGCCAGGGCGTGGAGGCGGGTCTGTCCCAGGGGGCACAACCCACCAGGAGGGCTCACCCGTTGCCCCAAAATTCTGCCTCTGGATTTTGTTCAAAGGTCCTTAAGCAGGATCCTCCCCGTCCCGGCTGCGCCTGGACACAGGAGCACATGCCCCGCCCACCACAGGGCGACAGGGAAGATTACGTTCTAGAACTGCGTCTGTGTAAAGGTGAACATAAACCAGGCTGGGTTCGTTATTAAATACTCACTAATACGTTAGTCACCCTTTGTTCACGGGTTTTATTATATTTTAAAGATTTTATTTATTTGAGAGGGAAAGAGTGTATGAGTGGGGGGGGAAGAGGGAGAAGCAGGCCCCCCACCGAGCAGGGAGCCCGATGCAGGACTCGATCCCGGGACCCCGGGATCACGACCTGAGCCGAAGGCAGACGCTCAACGAGCTGAGCCACCCAGGCGCCCCTTGTTCATTGATTTTAAAAGAAGTTAAAATCGGGGCGCCTGGGTGGCTCAGTCGTTAAGCGTCTGCCTTCGGCTCAGGTCATGGTCCCAGGGTCCTGGGATCAAGTCCCGCATCCGACTCCGTGCTCTGCAGAGAGCCTGCTTCTCTGTCTCTGTCAAATAAATAAAACCTTAAAAAAAAAAAAAAAAGACGTTAAAATCAACACATTTTGGTGGGCTGCGGACCGCGTCTGTGGTCCCTGGGTGCGGGGCCTCCCCTCCTGCCCAGGCTGGGTCTGGACGTGCCCAGCTCCCGGGTGTCTTCTTTGAAGCCTGGGCCAGCCTGGGACACGGGGCGACGTCTGTGGACATCTGTGGCTGTCCCTGGCCTCGAGGGGGCGGGGCCAGGGATGCTGCTGACCCCCACAGTGCCCGGGATGCCCCCCAGAGAGTGAATGAGCTGCCCTGTAGTGCTGAGACCCTGGGCTACGCCAACGTACTCAGACCGCAGGGCCGGGGTGTGCGTGCGCGTGTCTTGCTGCTGAACTAAGAAGACCCCCATCAGGGTGACCGAGGAGCGGGCAGAAGGCTGCAGTCACATGACTTCTGAAGCAGGGGCACAAAAGACCGCCTGCTGAGCCATGTCGCCGGGCACACCCCCAGGGCTCATGGGAGGTGAGGGAACCGGGCCTGGGAGACTGGGAGCCAGCCCAGAGCTCGGGAGACCAGGGAGGCGGGAAGGAGGTCTGTACCGCGCACAGCCAGGTCACAGGGCACCGGGTGGAGTGCCGGGGGCCCCTGCACAAGGTTCTGCGTGTCTGTGGTAAAATGCATGTAACATAAAAGCTAGCTTTTTACGCTGTTCAATTCAGTGGCATCTATGCAGTTCCAGAACATTCCATCAGCCCAAAAGGAACCCGTCCATCAGCAGTCCCTCCCCTTCACGCCCGCAGCCCCCACCCCCACGAGCCCCCTTCCCGTCCGTGGATGAGCCTGCTCTGGACATGTCACCCATGTGGACTCACCCCGCGTGGCCTTCCGTGTCCGGGTCCCTCCCTGAGCGTCCCCGCCCCCATCAATGGTCACTCCCCACCTTCTCCCCCGCCCCCACCCCCAAGCCCCCTTCCCGTCCGCGGACGAGCCTGCTCCGGACGTGTCACCCACGTGGACTCACACCCCGTGTGGCCTTCCGTGTCCGGGTCCCTCCCTGAGCGTCGTGGGCTTGGGGTCCGTCCCCGGGGCCGCGCGTGAGGGCGCCTGGCTCCTGCTCACGGCCCGAGGCCATGTGCCCATGTGTGGGGGACACTTGGGGTTGCTGTGCACACGTGTGTGCAGGCTTCTGTTTGTGCACCTGTTTCCCATTCCTTTGGGTGTGGACCCAGGCCTGGAACTGCTGGGTCACCTGGTGACCCCGTGTTCACCCGCAAACTGTCCTCCACAGTGGGCCCCACCTGCGTGGTGCATTAGCTTGCTTTACAGCGGCACGAGGATCCGCACCTGCCACGGGCCTGGCCTCGCGGAGACTCGTGAGGAAAGGGTGCCTCCTGCCCCCACATCCTTACAGGGCACCCCAGAACGTGGCTATGCCAGGCCACCAGCAGCAAGCCCGCCACGTGTCCCGGGCAGACGTGGCAGGGCCATCACGTCCATTCCCGTGGGTCCCTGTCCCCCAGCACTGGCAGGGCCCTGCTGGCATCTTAGCTGGGGGGCTGCCGGCACAGCTCAGGGGCTGACCTGAGTGGACACAATGTGACAGGAGTGTTCTTGGGGCAAAGCCCTGTGAGCAGACCCCCACGCTGAGGAAGGGAGCTGGAGAGAGCGCAGGGCAGGGGGCTGCCGGCCTGTTTCTCCCACTGTTGTCATAGGATAAGCCCAGCCTGCCCTGCTGGCCGTGAGGGGCTTGTAAGAGAACACGGAAGGTACTGGCAGGTGAGATCCTCTCACAGCTGGGCCACCCAACACGTGAGCACTGTGGAAACCACCACATGCGACAACCCAACATGCGTGAAGGCAGGGTTCCCCCCACCCAGCACCGCTGACGTGGGGGCCAGTTACGTCCCGGGCACTGGGAGGTGCTGAGCAGCCTCCCTGGCCCCCACTCCTTCAACGTCCCCAGCCGTGACAACCACACACATCACCAGACAAGGCCCCGGGGGCTCCTCTCTACATTAAGGGATCCCCTCGGCCCCCAAAGGACTTTACGTTCCATAATCATCTGACACAAATTCTAAAGTTTGAAAGTTTGCCTCGAACACAACTCAACGTCCCCATGTGGTGGGATCACGACGGGTCCCTGTAGGAAACCCTCTGACTCAGAGGTAGGCAAACCATGGCTCGGGGAGGAAGGGGGGGGGGCACCTGTCCCTGTAAATAAGGTTTTATTGGCACACGGCCCATTCATTTACAAGGGCACAACTGAGTAGTCTTGACAGAGACAGTCTGGCCCACAACGCTGAAAATATTCACTATCTGGCCCTTTATGGGGAAGGTTCCCTGGTCTAGGCAAAGCTGAATGGACCCGACGTTCTAGAAAGGGCAGATACGCACGCACACAAATCACCACGGAAAATAGAGAGTTTCACTTGGCGGCACTGGGGGAGAAGTAGGGCAGTTCAGAAGGACCGGGTGCGGTGGGGAGAGGGAGGTGGGGTTCCAAGATGGGCCGGAGAAAAGAGGTCTGGCTGAAAAGGGACCCTGGAGCAAAGTCCCTAAAGAGGAGGGGCAGGGGTGCAGATATTTGGAGGGAGGGTGGCCCCCGGGGCAGCTCTTGCAAATGTCTGGGACGGGAGGGGGGTGGCGAGGCCAAAGAGGCTGACAGGCCAAGTGGCCACTGTGAGGCGCCTGGCTCTAGCCCTCAGGAGATCGGGAGGGGGGCACACTGCCAGGGAAGTCACGTGACCTGAGGAAGCTTCTGGGGCTGCCTCTGCCTGCCGCTGAGCTGGCCTTTCTTTCCTCCACGTGACACAGCCCTGACTCAGCTGGCCTAGATGGTGGCCGGGAAGTGGGACCCACCGCTCCTGGATGCTGGGACAGATTCGCAGAAGCTGACCCCTCCGCCTGTCCCCGGCCCCGCCCAGAGCTTGCTGGAAAGGGCGCCCTCCCCCCAGGCTCCCTCCGGGGCGTAGGCGAGCTTCCTGGAAGCCCCAGGCACACGGCCACAGCGGCCAGGGCCATGGCACAGCCTGCTGACATCCTGCCAGGCCGCTGCCGGCAGGACCCTCGGCAGCTGTGGAAGGGCCCCGAGGAAGCATCACAGGTGTGAGCCCCATGCCCCCCACACTGCTCCTGCAAAGGACAGCTGCTCCCCGCTCGCCCGGGCACCCCCTCCCGCTCACGCAGGCCCCCCGCTCACCTGGGCACCCCCCTGCTCACCCGGGCACCCCCCTCACCCAGGCAACCCCCTGCTCACCTGGGTACCCCCCGCTCACGCAGGCCCCCTGCTCACCCGGGCACCCCCCCCGCTCACACAGGGCCCCCCCTCCAGCTCACACAGGCGGTGCAGGACCTCTGGCCTGCACCAGAACGGAAGGCATTCCTGCGCACGGCAAGTGAACCCATGTCCCCGTGACCCCCACCCACCACAGAGCGGAGGGCCCCCACCAACATCCTGGCATCATCCCGTGCCATCCGAGACCAGAATCATAGACTCTCGGGGCTGGCGGGAGGCCAGACACAGCACTGGGCTGGAGCACTCTCAGGGGGTGTCCTGGGTGCTGTGGGGGCCCCACCCCCCGATACCAGGAGTCCCCAGACGTCCCTATGTCGCCCCATGTCCTGGAGGCGGAGCCGCCCCCGCTAGACCCCCTGCCTCACTCCCACGGCAGACGCGACTCTGGAAGCAGCCAGTCAGATCCGCCTTCAGGGCCCTGGGTCGGCCCTGGGTCGGCCCCCGACGTGTTTGAGGAGCACGGTGACGGGCCGGTGGGGGTCCCGTTCCTGGGCTGGAGTGTGCAGAGCTCTCAGGTTGCCCAACCCCTAGAAAGCACAGTTCCCAGCCCTTCCGCTTCCCGGCCAAGAACCAGCAGAGGGTCCCGGGTCCTGGCATTGCTGGTGGCCCCGCGTGTCCCCAGGCCTGTGCCCAGCAGGTGCTGGGAGGGCGACCCAGCTGTACCCTGAGGGCGGGGCACCCTGCCTCCCCTTGTCAAAGAGCCTGGACGAGGGGTGGCTCTCACCTGGGCTGACTGTCCCCAGGGGACGTCTGTGGTTGTCACACAAGGGAGGCTCCTGGCAGCAAGGGGGTGGGGCTGGGGACACCGCTCAGCCCCACAGTGTCCAGGATGGCCCTGAACGTCCACAGTGCTGAGAGGGAGACGCCCTGCATTAAGTGGGAAAAATTGAGTCTGATCCCTGCTTACTCTAGACACCAGAGCAAGCCCCCAAAGGTCAGAGGGTACAAACCAGGGTGAGCCCGGCGTCATGTACTCCATCTGCACATCAGGAACATCCTGGCTGGGCAGGGGAGAGAAGGTGCAAGCCTATGGTGGCCAGAGAGGCTCCTGGGGGGCAGGGCCTGCCCAGGGGACAGGGCTTGGCTGACACTGACCCCGGGTCTCCTTCACAGGCGGTGGGGTGAAGCCTAGTTGCAGAGCTCTGGCCTGTGACAGGACTTTATTCCCAACCTCCTTCTGGTCAGCCCAGGGCAGCACACACACAGAAGCCCGAGAGGTAAAGGAGGACAGGCGCCAAGACCAGCAACACGGCCTTGCCCCGGGAGAGGACCCGAGGCGGGGCTCACAGATGGCTCGGGGTGGGGGGCCCACCACTCTCCCGACCACCACCGCAGGGCTGACCCGGCTGGCCAGGGCCCTGTGCCCAGAGGGCCCACCTTGTTTAATAGTCTGCGCTCACCGTCTCCAGTCTCCCCGTGGTTCTGGAACAAGGGGACCACAGGGTCTGTAACAGGTCGCATGGCTGATAGATGAGGGAGTTTCT